TGGGGGGAAAATTTTGGGAATTTTGGGATCCCTGGGGGGGAATTTTGGGATTTTCGGGATCCCGGGGAGGAATTTTGGGGTCTTTCGGGGGGATTTTTGGGAATTTTGGGATCCTGGGGTCCACAAATTTGCGGAATTTTGGTGAATTTTGAGTTCGAAACCACAACTTTTTGTCAGTTTTAGCCTTAAAAATGTGATTTTTCGCCCATTTTTCCTCTCCTGGGTGCGATCTTTTTTGGAATTTTGGGAATTTTGGGAATTTGGGGGAATTTTGAATTCAAAGTTGTGAATTTTTAACGATTTTGCTTCTAAAAACCACGAATTTTTGCTTCATTTTAGCCTTAAAAACCTCGATTTTTTGCCCATTTTTCCTCTCCCGGCTGCGATTTTTTTGGGAATTTTTTGGGATTTGATAAATTTTGCAGAATTTGTTGAATTTTGAGTTCAAAACTGTGAATTTTTACCCATTTTGCTTCCTAAAACAACTTTTTTTTGTCAATTTTAGCTTCGAAAAAGGTGATTTTTTGCCTGTTTTGCCTCTCCTGGGTGCGATTTTTGGGGTATTTTTTTGGGAATTTTATGGATTTGATAAATTTTGCAGAATTTGTTGAATTTTGGGTGTTTTTGGGTGTTTTTTAGGGGATCCAGTTCCTGGTGGAGCAGGAGCTGCTGCGTCACACGGCCGAGGACATCGCCCGGTTCCTCTACAAAGGGGAGGGGCTCAACAAAACCGCCATCGGGGACTACCTGGGAGAGAGGTACTGGGCAAACTGGGACAAACTGGGACAAACTGGGATGGACTGGGACAAACTGGGATGAACTGGGATGGACTGGGACAAACTGGGACAAACTGGGACGGACTGGGAGCAAAAAACCCCGGGATTTTGGGAAAAAAAACGGGGATTTTAGGGTGAAAAATGGGGATTTTAGGGGCAAAAATGGGGATTTTACAGGAAAAAATGGGACTGGGATAAACTGGGAATGGACTGGGATGGACTGGGATAAACTGGGATAAACTGGGACAAACTGGGAGCAAAAAAAACGGGGATTTGGGGAAAAAAAACGGGGATTTTAGGGTGAAAAACGGGGATTTTAGGGCAAAAAATGGGGATTTTACAGGGAAAAATGGGACTGGGATGGACTGGGAATGGACTGGGACAAACTGGGATGGACTGGGATGGACTGGGAGCAAAAAAACCTGGGATTTTGGGAAAAAAAACGGGGATTTTAGGGTGAAAAATGAGGATTTTGGGGTGATTGACAGCTGGGTGGGCGTGTCTGTGGGGTGATTGACAGCCGGGTGGGTGTGGCCTGAGTCGGGTGGGTGTGTCCAATGGGTGATTGACAGCCAGGTGGGCGTGTCCATGGGGTGATTGACGGGTGGTCTCGGTAATGATTTACAATGGAGTGGGCGTGACCTGGGGTGATTGACAGCTGGGTGGGCGTGTCTGTGGGGTGATTGACAGCCGGGTGGGCGTGTCTGTGGGATGATTGACAGCCGGGTGGGCGTGCCCAATGGGTGATTGACACTTGTGTGGGTGTGGCCTGAGCCGGGTGGGCGTGTCCGTGGGATGATTGACAGCTGGGTGGGCGTGTCCAATGGGTGATTGACAGCCGGGTGGGCGTGTCCAATGCGTGATTGACAGCCCGGCCCCGCCCCCAGGGAGGAGTTCAACATCGGGGTCCTGCACGCCTTCGTGGATCTGCACGAGTTCACCGACCTCAACCTGGTGCAGGCGCTCAGGTGGGGGAAACTGGGAATGGACTGGGATGGACTGGGATGGGATTGGGATAAACTGGGATAAACTGGGATGGACTGGGAGGGACTGGGATGGACTGGGA